GTGTTTCATGCTAGAACAAAGCATGTGGAGGTACACTACCATTTCATTAGAGAGAAAGTCCTAAAGGAAGAAATCAAGATGCAGCCGATCAAGACAGATGACCAAGTGGCAGACTTGGTTACAGAAGAGTTAAATACTGACAAACATGAGAGCTTTCGCTGTTAGCTCAACACGGTGCAGCGAATGAAGACTAGTGCTAAGGGAAAGTGTTAAAATATCATCGCTTGCCCAATCGGATCAAACCCAACAATTGTATGAGCCTATTGTATATTTATTTTAGGAAAAAGATTTATATATTTTAGGAAAAAGGTCGAGAAATTTTAGGAATAAATTGTTTAGCTCTACTATATATACCCCTCCACTCTACTTAGTTTCTTGTCCCAAGAAGTCCAAAGCATTTCATCACAAGAAATACAAAGCAATAGTATTCTATAAAGTGTCTTGTAATCTATTCAAGATTGGTCTTAAAAAAGAGTGCTAGTGTTTTTCACAAAGGTTGTATTCAACAGATATTTGCCTTCCATTATGGTTTACAATAGGTATCATATTTGACTTTAGTTAAAATATGCTCAAGATATTCTTACTCGTGCTCATTTGCTCGATAGCAAACCAGTCCACAAGGCGCAAACCCCTCTCCGTCTCTGCCCCTCTCTTTCTTTCTTCGCCTAAAATACACCCTAGAGTCCGCATTCCCAGTTGTTGCCCTCTTTTTCCTATCTTGCTATGACTACCACCACGTACACCCTTCCTTCTTCATAGCCATCATCGAACCCTCTCTCCCTCTTTTATTATAGGCAAATATCTTGTTTATTGCTCTTTTCATTTATTACTCTTCCCATTTATTTCTCTCCCATTTCATTTGTAATTTATTTGATGATTATAAATAGAGAATTTCACCATCATTTAGGTACGGTGGTTTTAGCAAATATTCTCAATCATAACACTTCATTGTTTATCTATGTTTCAAGGTATCTAAAAAAAACATCTAGCCTTCTTTAGCATAGTTCCATTCTTGCATATTTTAGTGTCAAGTAGCCTACTAACCACTTTTCATGAAACCAGAACTATACAATACTTAGTCTTATAGCCTCCTCAACAGACACCGTTATTTGTACATGCGTATCTTGCCTTGAAAAAATGTTAAACGAAAATTAGTACTTAAAAATAATCAGTTAGTGACCTCATTATTGGAGTCAAGAAACAATCACATGTAACATGGTTCATGACTGGTAGACTTGTTTTCCATAATTGTTCCTTTGGCTCTACTTTATTTTTCTAGTAGGGTTGGAAGCATAGTACTTCTCTGCACATAGTTCATGAACAACGCATGAATACGCAAGGGGCTCATATACATACCCGCTAAACTTGGCTACAAGTTAGTGCACTCCCACGTTGCCAAAAATCAATGAAAAAGAAAGAAGCACGTATAATATTGTGGTGTATCATCCCTACATAAAATACTATAGAAGTAGTTCATGTTTATGACATACAACATACATGAGGTCTCGCATTTAAAATCATGGTACAGTGTAATTATGTGCCTTGTACTTCCATACTTACGTGCTTAATTGTTCATAGTATTTCTTACATGCTCATTATATATGGTCAGAATTAGAATCAGTTGTGGGTTGAAGCCAAGACTACCCGAAGTTCATTAGTGTCGTGTATCGACACTTCAGTTTGGGGAGATCTACCCATCAAATAAAACCAAGCTCATTGGCCAAGGGCTTGTAGTTCTAAAGTGGGCAAGACAGATGAAACAGAAAGTACACCATGTCGATGCTTTCTAAAGAGACATTCACATTAGAGGAATAGTGTCAGTGGTTGCAAGTAGAGAAACCGAGAGCTAAGAAAAGACAAGCGTCGGCAAGTGCCAAAGTTGAATACTCGAGTCAATATGGGAGGACGACCTTCTGAAAAGAAGTAGCCAAGTTTAAGTGGGGGAGAGCTCGAGTCAATAGGTCTCTCACCCCGTGAAGCGTGTATTCCTTGAGCCATCACTTTGTGACTAAGGTGGATGACTCCACAAGAGTTGTCGAGATCAATATCCGCTCGAGAAGTGAGCATCAGCTGGAAGTGGACATAGAGAAGTGAAGCTGCAACATTACCACAGAAGCGTCAAGGCAGCATTGCCACAGAAGGTGGCCAGTTAAGCGTTGGCGGAAGTGTAGTGCCAACACGGAGTTGTGTTATGAGTTTATGGACATCCAATTAAGAGTTGGCTAAAGTGAAGCACCAACACGAGGTTGTGTCACAAGCTTTCAGACATCGCTACAATAAGGGTAGGTACCACGATGAGTAAATGTCGTGGTTGACTTGCGAGCCTCACCCCGAGGGGCGCACCGTTGTGTTCAACTCAGAGAATTCGATGAATGTAGCCAGAGTGGCAAAAAATTGGGGAGCGATCCCCCTAGCCAAGGCAAGAGTATGCCAAAAGCTAGTCAGTTTGTCGTTGTTTGTCTAGTGAGTCCCAGGTCAAGTTCGCAGAAGGGCGAGGGAGGCCCAAGAGAGGATAGCCCACAACCATAGTGCAGTTGTTTTACGGTACTTGTGTTACGAGTCTCAGAGACCGAGAGTAGGTCCGTTAGTGGGATAGCTCATGAGTAGTGCGCATTTTCCGTATTCGTTCTGAAGCATGTAGTTCTAGTGGATCCGTCAGCAACCAGTCTAGAGTTAGGTCGTCATCGAGGATGATGCCGAGATTAAGTGGGAGAGAGTGTCACAATCCAAAGTGTGGTTGCGCCCCAAAGTAAGTCATCGAGGACGATGACTAGATTAAGTGGGGAGAATGTCACAACCTAACAATGGTTGTGCCCCCAAGTAAGTCATCGAGAACGATGACTAGTTTAAGTGGGGGAGAATGTCACAACCTATCTATGAAGAGAGTAGGTTGTGACAAGAGATGCAGCGACTCTCAAGTGGCGCCCATCCGACCACATGAGGGCCTAGATGAGTGCCATGATGCGACCAAGGAGGACGTGCATCATCTAACACACCACACAAAGTGGGCATTGAAGACAAGTCAAGATATAAGCAAGATAGAGACGTTGAATAGACAAGAGGGGTCAAGATAGGCTTGTTGAAGGGTCGGGTAGGGTCCCAAGCCTTAACCTTATAAGTCGAGGTTCCAAAAGGAATTCGAGAATACGGTTTTAGAATTAAGTCCGTCCATACGAAATATGAATGCTCTCCAAATTGACATATGACCATTCGCCAAAATCATGTCTATGCCTGATGGATTAAAAACGGCTCAAAATGTACTATAGGGGGTACCATGGTGCCATCTCTCCACCACCCTTAGGCCCTATGGCCTAAGTGAGCTACCATGTGGCACATACGTGTGTCACAGCGTGGGCGAGCGTGTCGAGACAAGTGTCTCGTGCGTCTTGTGCGACATCTTATGAAATGGGTTTTTCAAGGATAGTACTAGGTGGCACGAGTGTGCCGGTATTGCGCCCCTACCCGCGTGTCGAAGGTTGCTACATACACCCGCTATTCGGTACGATATACGTAAATGACATGGCACGGGCACGAGAGGACCAATGTCGCGATAGAACCCAGAGAGATGGATGTTAAGGACGTCCCGATGAGATGAACGACACGTAGGCCCGTTCTCGATGGCATGACCGAGTGAGTTGTGATGGCTGACGACATCCCAAGACTCAGGATGACGTTAAGACATATGGGCCATGTCGATGGGGATTGAGATGATAAGATGAGACGCGACGTTGCTTGAGAGACCTTCACCCCGAGTAGAGGCAAGATCGAGCCGAATGACTTGGCCTAGTGTAGAGGCAAGTCGATTGTGTCACAGACGATTGAATATGCACGCGCAGGCAGCGTCTGTGGTCGAACAAGCTTAGATTCTAGACAAGCGATGTTCGATTGGCGAAGACAAACCTCGTCTAAGGTCTGACGAAGCCACAAAACCGTGGAAAAATGTATATAGGGCTTAATTCTTAAGGCTAGTTGTGAGCGTGTTAAGATCACGATGCCGCGCGATTGAAAAAGTAGAGCCGTGACACTAGGCATGTCTTCTTGCGTGAGGGTTCGGCTAGGTTTAATGTGTTTGTTTTTTGAGGAGTTCAATTCATAGTTTGTTCAAAAGGGGCTTTCATATCTTTAAGTAATTGCTCTTTACTAAGCATCATTGATATAACTAAGATGATTTTGTACAAAAGTTTGAGGAATCTGATTAACTCTTACTTGAAGGATGATTAAGTATACAAATACAAAGTATACATTTTCCTCAAACATATTAAGAGATGAGATGAGGTCAAAATAGAGTTTTATTTATTGGATAAACTTCCATTAAATTTAATGAAACAATGATATGGACATACAACAAAATCATATAATATCATAATTAAAAATAGAAAAATGGTGATCAAACTTGATAAAGACACATTAAGCCTTACCTCCTCCAAAACCATATCATACATCTTAAATCAAATCAAATTAAGATACGTCTAAGTCTATCCATATTTTTAAACTTATTTTTATATAAGACAAAGGACACCTAATACTTGTAAATGAAAAAAGAAAGATTCAAATAAAGTTATTATAGCATGGAAAAGGACATTTTAGGACTTGATCATCTATATAAGGTGTAATTGGAAGAAAATACGAAGGTGTATGTAGCAATATATCAAATGGAAATTCTAAGTTCTAATTTTCTACGTTTAGAATACTATGAATCATAGCATTTCTTCATTTTCTTCTCCACAAATCTTCAAAAATCTCACTAGAGATTTTTCAACTAACAAATCACTAATCCCAACAAAAACTAAGAGAAAATAATTGATTAGCCAAAACTGAATGCTCCATGTTCAATTCGCTTTCAATTATGCCTCGTCCTACTATCTTTACAATTTTTTAAATAGAAAGGTAACGAACACCTAATCGAAAGCTAATTTAAATTTGAGTACATAAAAAGATATATATCATCAACCATCAAAACTGAATATCTAATAAAAAAAAGATACTCAATGAAGATGATTAGATAGAAATAAGCATTTTAGATCCATTCCATCTAAAAATAGAACGTATCCAATTCTATGAAATTATTGTGACCAATTGTATGAGGAAAATGTGGAACTCATTATCACCATTATGGCAATAACTCTCCATATAGACAAATAGACATACGTACCAGAAACATGATTTCTGAAGATGAATATTTGAGCAATAATCTCAAAAGAGCTGAGCGAACAGAATGTAAACACAAAAGCATCTCAACAAAAGTTCCACTCGTGCATTTATTGACGTCTGTTGCAGTACAATAGCACAGCAGATTACTCCTTTCAGGATGCCCCAACTTTGACTAGGTCTTCAAGTGCCTTCGAGATCTGTGCCTCGCTCAAACCCTCTAGACGAGCAACCCTTTCAATGCCCATGTCTGTCAAATCAAAAAGAAAAAAAAGGAAAAATAATCAGTTGCATTAACCAAACACGAACATAAATATCCTTTAAATTTCAGTGCATGATCTATCTTTCAAACAAACAATATCTAATCTTATGACATTAGCATTCACCAATTGTCCTATGATATGGAACAAACCAAATAGTTGAAGGAGCAAAGAAAGCATGTCCTCCACTTCCGATTTTCAAATGATAATATCTACAATTGTTTGTGGAAGTGTAAATCCATGACCTTCACCTTGAACCAAAATCTTTCATTCTCAGAACAGCATCAAGATAATTCCAATCCCCATTATCACCAGCTTTATGAATGGATTGATAATTAGCTAAAACAATATGGAGTTTCCAAACGTGTTTGGTGGTCCACTCAAGCAGCCATCAAAACCAATAAAGGCCCCTTAGAAAGCCACTTTCCAAATGAAAGAGGTATTTTCTTAAAGAGACTAGTATGAAACGTATTGAACAAACACCAGATCTAGAGAAGACCCTCAGATATAGCTCTGTCTGCCATTTTTTATTGAATTATGTTGTTTTGAATGCCTTCGAATAAGTTTGTAATTCCAACAAATCTTCTTGGAACCTAAACTTCGAACAAGCCTTAATGATTTGGAAGTCCAAAAATAAATTTCTCTTCTGGATAACCTTGTTAAATCCATGCTTAGGCTTGTGGAAGACAAGTGGTTGTCGCTTTATGACTCTGTTCATTTGACAGCAAGTCTCTTTTGAAAGTGTCAGAAAGGATTCTGGAATCCTTGACCCAAAACTTATGCGAATACGCATGGAAAGATGAAAATAGATATCAAAAGAAACTCAAAACTATTATTTGGGAGCTACTGATAATCATTAACACTCCTGATAAAATGAAGGTAAAATCCCAATATCTACAATTCCCCCACCATGATTTTTTCATCGCCTATCTATTCCGCCTACCATGATTTTTGGTTTTACTTTTACCTTTGCTGCCCCATGGATTTCAGTTTTCCTTTCACCTTTTCCGCCCCATGGTTCAATTAGTTTTAGCATATCCAAGGATATCCAGGTTCGAAGAGTTTTTCTTTATTATCTATCCATATTCCCCAATCATGTTCCTCATCAAAATAGCATATCCAAGGATATCCAGGTTCAAAGAGTTTTTCTTTATTATCTATCCATATTCCCCAATCATGTTCCTCATCAAAATAATCATAAAAAACTTTTAATAAATGTTTGACAACCTTAAGTACAATTTAATAAGTATCCAAGTTCTCATTTTTTAAGTTCACGCTTATTTAGTCTCTTAAGTTTAAAGAATTTCTAATAAGCCCTTAAACTTTTAATTTTGTATCCAACAAATCCTTAAAATTTCAATTTTGTGTCAAATAGATCTTTCACCTATTCGATTTAAAAATTCACAAACTTACTAAACACTAAATTGAAAGTTTAGAATTCTAGTAGATGTAAAATTCAAATTTATATGTAATATATTAGTAACATTGTAAATTTTTTTAATAAGTCAATGGCATATTAGATACAAAATTTTAGACTGAAAATTGAAAGTTCACGACCGTTTAGATACTTTTTAAAATTCGAGAACTAAACTTGAAATAATGAAATTAAAAAGTTCAGTTTCCCTTTAGTACCTAGATTCACCACTTTACCACTTTGAGATGTCAAAATCTATAAAATTTAACTACTTCCATATAACTGCCCAAACTGTGGCAAATGAACTTCAACACAATGTCAAGGTTGTCTATGACATTTCAAGTGAGTCGAACTTTCAAGGCAAACATTAACAACATCCTTGATCTCTTGATAAAAAGAATGGATAAGGCTTCATACTTTGATAGTTGTAGTTCTTAGTGAGAAGATGGGGAACAAAAAAAAGGAGAGAGAACAAAGCACTCTATTAGCATTGGAAGCAAAAAAAAAGAAAAAGAAATAAGCTAACTTGCAACAAGTTTCCAATAAGAATCTTAATCACATAGAATGACACAACTTCTTTTTCTTTTACGAAGTATGATATATAAATTTCATAACCTTCGAAAACTCTCATTCTTGAGTCCATGTTATTTATTTCTAGCAAATTACATAAGACATTAGTTGTTTCAAGTCCACCACGTCAGAACAATCCAATGATTCACGATAATTTGACAGTGAAGATTATGATCTTGCGGGGAAAATTCAATTCACTAAGAGAATCTCTAAAGTTTGTGGACCAAGATTGATGAATGTTTCAATCTCTTTTTGAGTAGCCTCCTGAAGTTAACTGTACATTTTGCTACCAGGTACATTATCAAAAAAAAAGTCATTCCTAAAATTTTCATTAACAAGTTTTCTCGAACTCTATGGGTGGAAATTGTTGGCCCAGGCTAATGTCAAAAAAGACTTCAGAAATTTTTTTTCTATATAATAAAGGTAGTATTACAAAGACTTAATACCTTTTCCTAAGAACTCGAGGGCACAGTTGCACAGCCTATAGAACAACCTATAGAATAGAGCTTGTTCAATTAAGATCGTGATGGGGCCACATCTTTTATATTGTTATACAGCAGTCGCCACTTAATACACTAGAGCACATAAACAACCAACTAATCAACAAGCAAATTGACTAACAACAACTATCAACAAAATAACTAGTTATTGTACAATAACTCTCACTGTCAGTAACACAATTCATCTTACTCCTACGAAATCAACTTTAGTTGATGGTTCAAAATTATTCAAAATTATTTACAATAAACCTCTTTGCTTGTGTTTCCTCGCTTGTACCATCATTATACAAAAGGTTGCATTATGTGGCCTTTGTCCTCCCTCTCTAGATTCCCCTTTGTTAATTCTTTTGGATCTTTGGGTTCAACCATACTTTGGCGAATAGGGAAGCTATTAATGGAGTGGCCCTATTTGCTAATAGGCGACTCTTTGACGAGTTGAAGGAACAGGGGTATTGGCTTTTTGTCCTCCAATCCTTCATGGGATTTCTCTCCTGGTTCATTTTTATTTTTCCACTTGCTATGTGGCCCTTCTCCCCCTCCAAGAGCTTTGGCTTTCTCCTCTCTTTGAAACGTTAAAGAATCCCAAAAAGGTCAAATTCTTTGTGTGGGAGGTTCTTCATTAGAAAGTTAACAACTTAGGTTGTGTTCAGAAGCACTCCTCTTTTGTGTTGGGCTTGCAATGGTGCTCTTGTTGTCATCAAGCATAGGAAAGTTTGGATCATTATTTGGTTGACTGTAAGTGCACTTTGGTAGTTTGGGAGCATCATCGGGATTTGTTGGGTTTGTAACAGAGGTTGTTTTTCTTTGATTGAAGAGACCCTTTGAATCTCCCTTTCAGGATAAAGGCCGAGTTTTATGGCAGGTGTGAATTTTTACAGTGTTTTAGGGGGCTTTTGCTTGAGAAGAATAGTAGGTCTTTTAGGAGTGTGAAGTGATCGGCAAATGAGATTTGGGAGATTTTTCATTTTAATACCTACTCGTGGATTTTAGTCTCTGCATTTTTGTAATTATCGATCAGGCTTTATTCTTTTCGATTGGAGAAACTTTTTAATTAGTGTTGGACTCCTTGTGGAGCTGTTTTTTTTTTTTTTTAATGTTTTTATTTCTGTAAGCCTTTGAATAATCTTTCATTTCTTTCGCTTGGTTTCAATGACTCTTTTAGAGATGCTCATCATGGGCATCTCTTCAGCAAGGAACAAGAGGTCATATGGGACTGTTTCAACAAAATCCTCCTTTGGTTAACATGCCTCAAGCAAAATTGACGCATCTTCAAGGAAAAAGCTACATATTTCGTCTTTTTTTTTTTTTTTTTTTTTCCTAACACCTTGCTTACATTGCTCTCACTTGGTAAATTCTCCCCACTTTTCGGGACTATAGCCTTACTTCTCTCTCTGAATATCAATGAAATGAAGGTTACTTGTTTCTCATAGAAGAAAAAAAAAAGAAAGAAGAAGAAGAAGAAATCATGACGCAACGTGATTCATACAAAAGTAAAGTTGCAGACCAATGATTTCATGGAAAGAAAAAATTGGAATGTAAATATCAAGTTTCAGCATTCTATTAATGTTCCGGATAATGTCCAATGAACATTTTTCCATAAGTAGTCCGAGGCCACATAACAACTTATATAACTTATTATCCCATCAATAAAATAGTGAAATGTAGAAAATGAACTTGAATAAGGAATTACAATGATATTTAAGACAAATTTACCCACCAAAAGGATAATAATACTACTATTCATCATTTGACAAATTTTTTGAGTGTAAATACACTGCAGTCTACACAAATGTTGGTCAAAGAACTTGAATCTGAATAGTTTCATGATTCCTTATCATATATCTTGATAAGAATACTTTAGAAAACATTGATGTGAAGAACTAAATCTCATCACTTAATATGAAAACGTCTTATGTTACCACAATGTTATCTGTAACATATGCAATTAAAATTTTTGAAAGCCAAAGACAAAAGAAAAAATGAAAAAAAAAAAAGTTAACAAATAAATGAATCCTTCCTTGCATTTGTAAGAAGCTAAAAGTTTATACCATTACTACTCATGAGTGTCTCTCCTGACAGATGAGCCACCAACCATAACCAAAAGTAAAAACAGCTTATCCTAACAATATATTTTTTTTCGAGGGTGAATGCTAGTTAAGTGAAAATGGGACACAGTAAAACTCCAGTGGCTACTAATTTCTCCTTCATTTAGAAGGTAAAACGAAGATGTCAGCGTAGGAGCAGATTCTATATCAGGACAAGTTGGTTTTTATTTTACTTGAGAAACCATAGGACCAGTCAAATTTCACAGTTCACAGAACAATGTAAAAGAAAATTGCAAAGCTTGACAAAATCAAGCCAGAACGAATTTGATTAGATGGGTATTACTATATCCCTGGTAATGGAGCATTCAAAATACTACGACCTGACTATCTACCATGGAAAGAGTACCTTCCATCACAAATAGACAGAGAAAGTAATAATCGATGCAAAAGAAAAACTACCCAGCAGAGTATTTGACATAGCTAATCGCGCTTATCAATCAAGTCGGCCATATCATTGACTTCATGAAAAGAATGTGGAGAAAATAAAACCGCAAAGCTCGAAAGAAACTCGAAACCTAAAAGGAAGAAAATAAAACGAAATGAAATCATTTGGGAGGAAGAGGAGATTAAAGTACCATATCTAGCCCACAATTGCGGCTCGACTCCACTGCACTCCCGGATCAATATTGGAAATTTGGGATTCAAAGTCTTGAGTTCTTTGTAATTCTTTTCCACAAATGCCCTGTGAGAACCAAAGCTCCATTAATCAACAATCTTCGAAAAGAAGCTCGGGGAGGAGCAGGATATGTGATTTTATAAGGGATCGTAAAGCGTAAAAGAGAAGAGAAACGGAATACCTAGCGGGGGCGCTTGAAGGAGAGGTTTGGCAGAGCAAGATCCGAAGCTCCTTCAAATTCTTGGATAGCTGTCCTCTCCAGGCCATTTCTCCGTCTCTCGCTGTTCGTGAAGTCACTCTACCTCAGATGAATGAAGCTCCTTCCCAGATGCCTATCGAGGCTACGCCAATGCCAAGTAGCGACGGAATTTTTGTTATTTTTACGGTCTTATTGCAATCAGTTCGGTGGTCAAGAAATTATAACGCAGGGTTCGAATCTCATTCCTATTCCTACCTATATGAGTTTTTTTTTTTTTTTTTTTTTTTAAATCAACTTTATAAAGTAAATTATTTATATTTCTAGTAAATTTATACCTTAACTAATTAATCAGGGACTAAAAGCTATCACATTTTCGCCCGATACTAAACTTTAAATAAAATAGTCAAAGCAGGTAAACATGAACCTAACTCGACAATTAAGATATTTATACTTTTTTAAGAGATAGTAGGATTGAAACATCACTCTCTGAAGTAACATTCTAAAAACATAAGATTACAAGGTTCGCAGGTATTAAACTACAAATGAATAAATAATGGTAAATACAAATTGTTAATCTAAAATTTGAATTTCGTTTCAATATTAGTTTTTAAGGTCTTGAAATTATTTGATTTCAAAATTTAATATCTAACTTATTAGTTTTAATTTATTTTTAACATATTTTAATTATCACGTCTTCCTTATATCATTTAGCTATCAATTAAAAATTAAAATTCAAACTTTAAGATATTGAGGAATTAAGTTCAAAGAACCATTAGTATAAAATTTAGAAAACAATAAAACTATTTTAAATTATGTAGCCATAAAACATTTATAGAATATTTGTGTGGTAGAAATAATAACTTTTAATTTATAGTCAACCTAAAGACCAAGAGGTAAAAGATTCTGGTGGAAGGGTATAATCTCATTAAAGTATTGCTAGCAAAGTATTTTTTTGCATTCTTCAAAAACCATTTTCAATATATTTTCGAGAAAAAAAAAAAAAAAAAAAACTCAAACATAGCTATCAAACGTAGCTATCTTGTTCTCTCGCGCCATCGTCAATTATTGAAATCGCAGGAAAAGTAGAACAAGTAAATATATAAGTATATTCCGTAAGCAACTTGATCCAATAAAAAAATATTTTTTTGCCGCAAAACTTGCTTACATATTGTAAGGCTAAATATGAGTTATTCATAAAGTTAACTAGGTTTTTCAATCATGGTTATATACTACAAGTAAAATTTATTTAGCGATACGAGTCATGCTAAACTTAAGAGGCTTACCATCGTCCTCCTCTTAGCCTCCTTGGTCTACTCTAGTTTACACCAAAACATTCTTTCTCTATTCATCTCTGATTGGGGCTCAGGGCTCATTAGGGTAGCTTGGTTCAATTGTAATCATAATTAGCTCTTATTAACCTCTTAAACACGTCTAGCCTACCCTTAGAGTTCATTTAATAGCCCTCTTGGGAGTTTATCGGTTAAATCACATAGATAACTAAGAGTGCTTGCTTGCGCATAATCTCACTATTACTTATCCATACTCTCCATACAACCTATCAATTCGACATGCTGCCAGTAAATAGGACTAGATTACCATTCTATGTAATCTCGTGACCTCACTTTGTCTAGCTTAGTACATACTAAAGTATTTTTATTTTAAGAATAAACTTTTATCTTATTTCCTCTTTTATAATACAGTAAACAAGAACCACATTTAATAATTATTCCTTGTTCTATTTTTTGTTTATAAAAAGGAGAAACAAAATACTTTGTAATAATTTCTTCTTCTTCTTTTTTTATCTAAAAATTATAATTAAAAATGTAAACTTTTTTTACATGAACTATAAAATATTCCAATTTTTATGATACTTATTTTAAAATATTTATTATGCATTTTATAAGTCAAGAATTATAAAATAATACATTAACTTACATTTTGGAAGACACTAGGAACATGAATAAGAAACTTAGTTTTGTTAATTCCAACCTTTCAAATTCTAAAATTGTAAAACATAAAAATAAAAAATAAAAAAATAAAAATGATCAATTATAAAACACTTCTGCTTCTCCAAATGGAAAGGAAAAAAAAAACACAGGAAATGTGAAAGAAGAATTTACCAAACTATCCCTAATTAACGATCTTCAATTTCCTGCATAATATGAGAAATTAAGCTTAAATTGAGAAATATATGCTAAAACCAGATTATAGACACTTGAGCTTAAATTCAGATTCTATTTTTTCTACAAATTAATGAAGTGATTACATAAGGGAAATCAGTAAATTTACAAATATGAAGTCTGTGACGTTTTTTCTATTATTGATATTCACCCACCCTTCCTGTGAATAATATTTCAATATATATAGAGACCCCAAGAAAGCATTGGAAGAATTTATAATTACAGCAATTGCAAGTCTACTTGAAACAGAAGAATATGCAAAGAAGCAAAATGAGTCCACACAGATGCCATGACATGATGATGCTGTTGCGCGTGTATGGCGGCCAGTCGGGACAATCTTGCATTCGGATAAGAACCATAACTGAAGGGGGTGACCAATTCGGAATAATCATCGCAGTATCTGTATATTATACACATCAACTGAATTATATGGGATGGTGGCAAACTGTGCCTTGTGTACGCCTATGACATCATTTACGGCCTCAAGAGATTCGGACCCATGTTTGAGGACATCCAAGATGTTACCACTTCCACAAGCAGGTCTAGATCCTTGGATGCTTCAGCCCGGAGGACTTTTGAGTCTACGCCTAATGTGTTTCCCACTTCTTTTGCAACAGTCTCCCATGGCGTTCCGACAGCTAGATTGGTAAAGAGCTCGCTACCTCTGTTCACTGCGTCCGCCATTGCTGGTGGTATGTCCGGAAGGGCCTGTAAATAAGGGGAAAAACTCTTCAGTTTTCAAATATGTAATGAAAACGCCAAACTCAGCTCCCAGTCCTGTCATCTCTAATCTTCTTGGAAATGATAATAGCAATATTCATATATGATGAAATGGGGAGAGGGGGAGGACCTGCTGCAAGGGTAGCCCATGATTGCCAGGCAACGATCGGGTTGACATGTCCAGCATCGAACTAATTGCAGCTTCTGAGCTAAGTAACTGAGCTAGCATCAGAGTTTCATCTATCATATCATCCTTGAATTTTATGAGGAGATTTCGGGAGATGCCGTAGTATGACTTTACCTGATCAAGCATTCCACAAGAACAAGTAAATGCAAACCTATAACTGAAGTATAAGAATGTCTTCTGCACTAATTGTGAAGTGCAGATCACAGGCACAGCAGGTATACCATTCATTCATCCTAAAAACCTTGCAACCAATTTACACTTGGTCACTGACTCGCAAGAAGAACAAGAATCGCTACACACAAAAATAATGGCGTAACATTCAATTCCTGAAAGCCCTACACCCCAAACAATTTTCATACGCAGTGAGGCAAATACGAGCAGTAAGATATATCCTTCAAGAAGTCTTAAAATAATTTCATGCAGGTAGTCAGCTGCCATCTAGAGAACATAGGCAATCTCAGCAAGTGGTAATAGTTTTTTTTTTTTTTTTTTTTTTTTTTTAAAAAAAAAAAAAAAAAATTCATT